CTTCTTTTTTTTTGAAAATTCATTATAATAATTATTCAATGTAGTATCTGGATATTTCTAAGGGGATATTTAGTTTGGGATAATATTGATTTACTTAAGTATAATGTTTATTCAATATAATATCATCTGAATTAATTCAGTGTAAAATTAGTTCAGTACGATATATGATTTGGGTTTTTGTAATGATTCTATGTATTTCCTCTATGTAAACAGATCGTCCGAGGTGAGTAAAGTCAATATGTAAATGAGTGTATGATTTTCATTTATTTTTGACTGCCATAACAAAATGAAGGCAGGATTTACGTTAGCACTATTGAATTTATCAGATTTTTCGTAATATACTGAAGTGTAACTAATCTTGTATCTTTCAGTTATATGGCAATGAATTAAAACAAACACACAGGAACCGAAATTACACTGAAACCTAGCTTGCTTAATAGTATAGTAGCCCGGTTAAATTTGTTGTTTCTTTTTAAGATCATCATGGCTGTCTCTCTCTCCACCTCTCCTCAATAAAGGTGATAAGATAATAGTAATGAACTGAAAAGATGGTAGTGAAACTCTGTTATTAAGTTTTTCCAGACGGAAACAACTATTACTAATTCGTAAACAGAAAAAAATGAAATAAATATAGTTTATAGTTGTGAGCAAAGATGAATAGTTGCTTGTGAACATCCACTCTGAGATGCAGGTACATCCAGTTGACGAGTCCCAGATAGGACGAAACGCGCGTCAAACTGGATTTCACTACTAACCACTATCCATCTTTGCTTACAATGCTTGTGAAATAAGGCTATATCGAGACAATAAGCACAGTATGCACATATGCCAACAAGAGACTGACCAGTTGCAGTCCTAACCATCAATGGGAAAATTCAAACAAGTAATACTACAGTTTATAGTTGTTAGAATTAAAAATTTCTAAATGAATGAATCAATGATTTAGACCTTTTGTTCCAGTTGTGATAAGTCTTTTAACTGAATACTTAAGTCAGTTACCTAAGCTATTCTAATAACCCTAGGCTAAATCTACTGGACAACTTGAACACAAGAGAAAAGATGCGAAGTGTGTAATGAACGCTTTACTCCAAGATTGATTTATGTACAGAAAATCGAGGGAGTTTATTGTATTTTAGATGGAATTTTCTGGAATCAAATTAAACATAGTACTAGGATAGGTAGTCATTCAATCAGAAATGTGACAACATGACTCCTTACTTTATAGATGCTTCTGAAAAAACTCTATTTAATGCTGGTTGGATAAAATGTTTTCAGTGTTTTCATCGTCCCTCTGGACTTCTTTGAGGAATATTTAGGACCCCCTCAACACCTTTCTTTCACAAAATAAGACATCATCTTTGGATATACTTACCATATCAATCGCTGCTATTCTGTACAAATTTCCTTACCTATTTTATGATGACAGTTTCACAGTTTTTGATTAAATTGAATATAGTTTTCACTAAAAATTAGTGTTCACCAATAAACTGATGTAAACTTAAGCAAAGATGGACAGTGGCTAGCAATGGAATCCAGGACAGGCGTTTCATCCTATTTTTCTCTATGAACTATTTTTCTGAATGAGAATCTATTGAAATAGTGAGTTTATGCGTTTAAAGCTATTCCTAACTAAATATGATCAAAAATAACACTGAGATTGAATCCGATTCAATAGAAGTTAAGGCAAGTTATGTAACAAAGTAATAGAAATAAGTTAAACACTAACTGCTGAGGAGTCCCATAATAGGACGAAACGGTCGTCCAGTGCTTCCAGGTTTTCCATGATGGTCTAGCCTCAATTGACTCATGATTTCAACTATATAAACACTAATTGCCGTTAAAAAAGGTTACTTACTGGTTCATCATTAATATTTATATCACAAATAACTGACATCTTAAATACAGCATGAAATGACAGCAGAATGTAACCTTGAAATGGCATATTAAAACAAGGCGAAATACTGAATAAATTCATTTAGTGATAATAAACATGATTTCTTTTACTATGTAAAATTGGGTTAGGTTAACCAGCCATGTTTTTCATGCCTAACATTTTTCGATAATTTAGTAGGTGAGTTTTGTAAATAACGGCAGGATTTTCACTGGGGATTACATTTCAGTCGCCCAAAGCTATCTATAAGTATATCCTCTATGAAAACGTTACTATAATCCATCCCAACTACCCGAATCAAAAAGTAATTGAACTGAACAGAAAAATACCCGAAAATACTTGACGCGTCATAAATATATAGAATATCGAAAGATGGATGAGCTATAAATCTGCGAACATATATCTTGGAAAATTTCATATTTTGTATGTATTAACTGACAACTAAGTCTAACTAAGCAAAGATGGACAGTGGCTAGCAGTGTAATCCAGTTTGACGCGAGTTTCTTCCTATTTGGGACTCGTCAACTAGATGTACCTGCATCTCAGAGTTGATGTTCACTCTGGCACTCGAAATCAGTACCTTTCGCTTCAAAAGCCATCACGTTATCCACTCAGCTACTGAATCCTGATATCTTTGAATACCATGCTTGTGAATTAAGGCTATATCGAGGCATTACGTACAGTATGCATATATGTCAATTAGAGACTGACCAGTTGCAGTCCTAAACATTAATGGGAATATTCAAACAAACAATACCAAATGAATTTAGGTTGAATTAAGTTAAACGATTACTCAATGATATTGAATAATGTTAGAGATCTATCAAAAGATAACTGAGATCAGAAATAGAGATCTATAAATTCCGATTCACTGATTGAATAACAGTAAACTCTCTACAAGTTCTATTCTAGTGTAGGGTTTGAAGTGCACAATACTAAGGAATCCCAAAGTTGGTTGAACTAGTTATCAAGTACTTTTTAATGTCTAATGTTTTGTCATATTACAATCAGTTAGCAGTGAAAATTACATAAGTAAATCCCTGAAATCTAACTTTTATTCATCATATTTTTATTTGTTTTACATACAAACAATTATTTGTATAACTCCGCCTGTAGTTATTCTGGGGCTAAAGCCAGTCCTAATGTGGTGTGGTCTACTTATATCCATATAAGTAGTATATGGTGTGGGTCAGACATAGAATGTATTTTGGCAGAAGACCGATGAGCAAAGAACTGAAATGAAGCGCAATCGTTTGGAAAATGCATGAGTGATGGAATAAGAGAAGAAACAGTGAAGATTGAAACAATTGGTTGTTAATTTGCAAATTGACTGTTCATTGTTTGCTTATCAAAATTTACTGAGATAGTCTGCTATCTTTGCTTAAATACATTCGATTGTCCCCAACCAGTGTTCTGTTCACTACACTAATCCCGTATGAAAGAAAGAGGATTGGATGTGGGGTCGGTAACTCCATCGAGTAGAAAACAATCCTGCTAATAGATAAAAAGCGCTAACCAGAATAAACAAAGTAAATAATTACTAATATGTAAGGATATCGGATTAGATTTTCACTTTTACGAGGAAATCTACTTGCATCTACACTACATTTAACAGAATTACTTAAAATCAGGAGGGGGTTTTGTGGATATTTTAGTAATTTTGTAGTTGAACTTATTAGTCGATTGAAGCTAGTCCACCATTGAAAACCTGGAAGCACTGGACAGCCGTTTCGTCCCATTGTGGGACTCCTCAGTAATGCGCATTCACGATCCCGCCTCGCGATAATCGAACCTATGACCTACAAAATTACTTAATAGTTGAACTGATGAGTGGTGGCCTGATTAAAAATCTGATCTACCTGTTTCTGTCATCTATATATTTCAACAAGTTATCTAATTTTGTTTGTTTTAATACATCATTATGCCTATTGATCGCATAACCTATTCAGGTGCGTTTCTGAAAAGTGTATAACCTTCCTCTGTAAAGGTTACAAAAGGCCTAATCAGAGATATCGTGGTTGCTGGCAATATGCAGAGAAAAGAATGAAGAAGTAAGAAACGGAAACTTGTAGAAATACTTTTTGCTGAGAATTCTATATTGTACCAAAAATATAATATTGAATAAAGCTAATAATAATACTAATAATAATAATAATAATAATAATAATAATAATAATGAGTTCATCTAAGCTAGACCATCATTAAGAACTTGAAAGCACTAGATAGCCATCTCTTCCTAACATAGGATCCCTCAGAAGTGCATATACACGATTCCGCACTGTCAGTTAATAATTTCTCTAGACAAGATATTTCATTAATGAATATCATAGTTCAACAAAATAGTATTACGTATATGTATTTATTCGCTAGAAGTGGATAGGACACACATTCAGGAAATCACCCAACTATGTCACAAGGCAAGCCCTCACTTAGACTCCTGAAGGTCAAAGGAAAAGAGGAAGACCAAAGAACACATTACGCTAAGAAATGAAGACAGACATGAGAAGAATTAACAAAAATTGGATAGAACTAGAAACGATGGCCCAGGGCAGAGTGGATTAGAGAATGCTGGTCAGCGGCCTATGCTCCATTGGAAGTAAAAGGAGTAAGTAAGTGTATGTATCTATTAGGTATGTATGTATCTTTTAGGTAATAAACAGCGAGATCTTTCTTTTTGTTAAAACACTATCAATAATCACATAATACCAAGTCGATAGGAAATCATTTTAATATCTAACACATTATATTCTGGGAAGATTCAAACAAACAATACTAAATGAATTTAATCTTCACCCCATCGCACAAGCAAGTGGCTATCAGGACTCAGTGGACAAGTGGATAACGCGATGGCGTTTGAAGCGAAAGATACTGGGTTCGAGTCTCAGAGTGAACATCAACTCTGAGATGCAGGTACATCCAGCTGACGAGTTTCAAATAGGACGAAACGCACGTCAAACTGGACTACACTACTAGACACTATCCATTTCTCCTTATAATGCTTGTGAATTAAGGCTATATCGAGGAAGTCCGCACAGTATGCACATATACCAATTAGAGACTGACCAGTTGCAGTCTTAACACATCAATGGGAAAATTCAAACAAACAATACTCAATGAATCTAACACATTATAATTCATTATTTACATAAATATTAATTATAAAGAATTTAAAAATGAAATAAATTACAAATGATTCATTTAAAAATGAATATTAATAATTTCTAGATCATTCAAAATTGAATTAAAGATTAATTCAAAATGATGTAATACAGTCATGATGGTAAATATGAAGATTAAAAGTTGGCCGATTTTGAAACTATGATTCAATTGTAAGATGTTTAATAATCAGAGTCATAATTACATTAGTAGTAGTTTTAGTAGTGTTAGTAGTAGTAGTAGTAGTAGTAGTAGTAGTGGCAATATTAGTAATAGTAATAGTAGTGGTGTTAGTAGTAGTGATGGTGGTGGTAGTAGTAGTGGTGGTATTATTAGTAATGGTAGTAGTAGTAGTAGTAATAGTGATAGTAGTATTAGTAATAGTATTAGTGGTAGTAGTATTAGTATTAGTAGTGATGATAGTAGCAGTAGTAGTAGGAGCAGTAATAATAATAATAATAATAATAAAAGTGGCATTAGTAGTGTTAGTAGTAGTAGTAGTAGTAATAGTAGTAGTATATATATATGATTTAAAATAATCTGAATTATAGATAAGTTTTATACAAATTCATACATATCATTACATAATAATATTTCACAAAATGAACTAACATGTAAAACTTGAAAAATAAAAAATAAAAAAAAATTTTTTTCATTCAATTACGTAATCGATGTTATTGAATCTGTTGGTAATATTTTAATTACTTCTTCTGTTTCATTAGAATTATATAGATTATTGATTAGGGGATCATTATTAATCTGATGATTTTTATTAATCCAATTATTATCAGAATTGATTAATTTCGATTTTTTTAAATTTTCCCAAATCATCGATTGTTGATAATTAGTAGTATCTATGGTAACTTGATTTGCTATATAATTGTTACACTGTGCTAATTCTTTTAAATCTTTTGAATATAATGGATTATTTTCATTGATATTATATTCTTCTATATTCATTGTATTCCATTGAGATTTCCAAATTTGATTCAAGGTATTTAATAGATTTACATTAGTCCATTTTGTCCAATCTGTTATGAATGGTGTTGATTGTAAGGTTAATTCTTTATTACTATTACTATTACTAGTAGTAGTAGTAGTAGTCGTAGTAACAGCAGAATAGTTGTCTATATCAGTTGATTTTAACAAATCACACTGGTTCTTATCACTATTCAATGAATCCAATGATGTTCCATTTAAATGTAAAGCATTTGTTAATTGATTAATAAGTAGATGATTTATTGAATATGGAAGATCATTTCTATGATTGTTATCTTCATTTATTTTTAATAAATTATAATGATCTTGTAAAAGATTTAAATTGGAATGTGTATGATTTAATTTCAATGGATAAAGATTATATAATAATGATGATGAGATTTGTGGTGATAATAATGATGATGTACATGACGACGACGACGACGATGATGATGACGATGTTGATGTTGATGATGTTGACGAAGATGGTTGTATTGAATATGAATTTGATATAGATGTCGATGATTTGAAACTCTCTCCATTTTGATAATCTAAATTATTCATATTATACTCTTGTAAAATTTGATTAAAATATGTTGTAAAAGTGTTTTCAATAAATTTTTGACGCCATAATGATAATAATTTATTGGAATCATTTAATTGACTTTCATTATGTTGTGATGAAAGAAGATTTTCTCTAATTGGATCTAAAGAGTGTTGAAATGAATGATTTTGATTTTCTTGTTCATTTATTGTAGGAATTAATTGGGCTTCTTGATGAGTATAATGTGAGCTTGTTGATTTAGAAGGATGTTGTATTGATGAAGGAAGTAGATTGGACATTGTTGGTACTGGTAATATTGATGTTTTAGTTGTTATTCTAGGTGTAAACATTGATCCAGTTGATATTTTACATAAATTAGTATCATTATTGATTGATCTATAATGATCTAGATCATGTAAAACATCTTTTTTAGACATTTGTTTACATTGATGATTTCCATTTAGACCAGCTACTTGTGTTGATGATGTTGGTGGTTGTAAACTAAATATATGTGGTATACCAGTAACCATTGAACCTGCTACAGCTTGTTGTGCTAATAATGTCTCCATAGATTCTCTGAAAGAAATGTAAAAGAGTTCGTGTGTAAGAGAGAGAGAAACAGAGATGAAATGGTTTAACTAGAATATATAATTTTAATGGATACTATCAACTTTTTTCATTATTGAATTCTTCGTTTTATCTTCAGGATCCAGTGGGTAACTTAACATATCCTTGATCATTGTAAGTAACGGGTAGGTTGTTTTTTTTTCAATTTGATCCTAGTTCTCACTTGTTAAAAATACAAATATGCACATATGTAGAAACTGGTGTGTCTATATGAGTCGGATCTTTATCATACAGTCAGAGAGACATTACTCCATTGAAATGAATCAAATGTGACTGATTTCCAACTGAAATGAGATATTTACCATGGATTGACACTTATCATATTGTTTAGATGCTCAAATTCGCAGTGTAACCATCATTCTAAATAGCTAGACTCTCTATAGACTTTGTTTTGATATAGGATAGTTCAAATGAATTGATCTAAGTTTAGAGCTGAATGTATTAACACTAAACTTCTTGTCATAACGATCAGACAATATAAAATGAATTACTGTTTGGCATTCATTTAGTTATAACTGGATATATATATTAGATTTAAAATCTACAGTTATTCTTTAAAGTGTATGATGTTATTCGTTAAAATATAATGATAAAAGTTGACAATGATAATATAGAAGGGGTTTTTTGTGAAGATTTAGTATTTTCATAGTTGAAAGCGTGAGTCAATTAATTCGAATCTCGCGAGGTGAGGTCGTGGATGCGTACTGCTGAGGAGTCCCATAATAGGACGAAACGGCTTTCCAATGCTTCCAGGTTTTCCCTGCAGGTCTAGCTTAAATTGACTCACGCTTTCAACTATGAAAATGATAATATAAACAATACTAGATTCAAATTATACATACATGAACCACATCATAAAATTTAGTTGATAAGATGGTGGTTGAACGTAGTCAACATTGTAACTTGGTCGATAAGATTCGATCTACACTAAGAAGGATATGACATACATAACATTGATCAACACCCAATGATCAATCAATTGTAAATTTTACTAGATAGATTTTTACAAATACATAGGAATACGATTTTTATTAGTTTTCAAACATAATGGCAAATCCTATCATAATTACTATAGACATTCATTTACAATTTAAACATTCAATACTGAAGATATAAACAAAAATAAAAGAGTGTGGGATCGTGGATGCTCACTGTTGAGGAGTCCCATAATAGGACGAAACAGCCGTCCAGTGCTTCCAGGTTTTCGATGGTGATCTAGATTCAATTGACCAATGATTTCAACTGTGAAAATACTAAATTCTCCACAAAACCTCCTTTGACCAAAAATAAAATATATAGAACCTTCAAAATTATAGATTTAGCTTATCTCGGGAATTTGAGTACTAGATAAGATGTTCGTTCATAAAAAGAATTATTTTCATGGTATAGAGCGTTATTCAATTGAAGCTATGCCACCAAGGAAAACCTGGAAGCACTAGACGGCCGTTTTGTTCTATTGTGCGACTCCCCCACGCTTTCAACTATGAAAATACTATATCTCCACATAACCCCTTCTGATTAAAAAAATTATGTTTAATGATATTCTTCAGTGTTACTGCTTATCATTTTTTCTCCCCTTTCAAGATTTGTATCAGAGGCTCAGATTTTGTTTTTATCAGAAACACAAATAAGCAAATATCTTGAAAACCTTACTCGATTAAATACCTATAAATTTAGGTTGATAACGGTTTCATTTTTCTTTAATAATTTCAATCTACTTATGAGTAGATTAAATCGTTTTTAAAAATTTAAAGGTCATTCGAAATATTTACCATGACTTAACTATTGAAAATCAGGAAACAATAAATAGCCATTTCATACGTGCTACGAAACGCATCAGCAGCGAATATTTACAGAACTGTAATAAATTGAACCTAGAACCCTCACGCTTCGTAATTAGTATTTTACCTTAAGATCATTAAGTTAGAATTCATTGCTTCATATATTTTACAACTGAAGTTCTAGTCGGTTTATCATTACTATTCAGCATTCTTAACATGGATTGTCGTCGTATAATTAGGATTATTAACACGGTCTATATTTTCCAGACGCCTTTTAAATGAAACGTGATATATCCATTCTCATGGCCTATGCCATAAAAAACATTACTGTAGACCGTTTGTTTAGAATAGCATATTGATTTCAAACAACATATTTAACTTCTTAGCAAAACATGACTTTTGTTCATCATTTTTATTGCACAATATCAATAAAACTGCTTATTTCGATAATCATAGTTGAGCACTTTTAACTGTGTAAATTATTCGACTGTTTATTGTTGAAATATTTATCTTTAGAAATTTGATCAATTTTTATGTACATTGATGATCAACTAGAATTAAAAGGAACTCTTAAATTCCTGATGAGTATCTGTGATCTTCCGAATCTGGACTAGTATGGATTGAGTTGGATATTACTGTGGGTACTAAATGATAATTCAAGAATTAGAAACCAAATCAAAATAATTATATAACTGATTAATGGTCTGGACTGGTTATCCAACTAAACTCAATCAGTTTTTGATAAACTATCTTTGAATTAAGTAATTATCGACTTGACAATAAACACAATGCTGTTTAACTATCGAGTTTCAACCGAATGATCCGCATTTCTAGGAAGCACTGCACAAGTGTTTCATTTTAGTCTAAGACTTTTCAGTAGTGTGTATCCCCGACCCCGCATTTCAGACTGGAACTAAGGGTCTTCAGTTTCGCGTGTGAACGCCTAACCTTTAGACAAATAACAATTGTTTTAGTTCGAAAATGATCTTTTCACTATGATCTGTTATTGAAATCAGGAGACAT